CCTCTCCAGGTCTTAAAATCTAACACTACATTTCTGTGGAATAAATGGTACTGATCCAATCTAGATTCTTCAATAAATGGTTATATATTTTAGAAAGAACACTTGTTCTTGTTTTATTGGTAACAGAAGTTTCTATATTTGACTTTCTTTCCCCAGAAAAAATAAGAAGTAGAAATCTGGGAGCACTATCAGCACTGTGAAGATGTAAAGAAAACCAATGGAAACATTTTGCTTTTCCAAAGGGATTACATGGCATAGACACAGAAGAAAAAAAATAAATGAATTATTTTTCTATAGCTTTCACAATATAGTCCACCAAAAAAGAAGTCCTATGTTCTCTTTCTGTTATTACTCCCAAAATCTAAGGATAGCTGTATGTGAGTCTGTTTTTCACATCTATTTCCTTCTCCTCAAGATTAAAATACAATAACCCAGGATCAATCAACCCTAACGGAAGTTCTTCTCTTTTTCTTTTAAAAGTGAAAAAGCACTTTTTTTTCAGGAAGCCCAAATTACAAAACCCACTACACTTTTTTGTTTGTTTGTTTCTTTTTTAACCAATGTGAACTGAAAGTATAAAGCCAGTAAACAGATCTGGATACCTCAATGACATGAAACGTCAAACTTAGACTCAATATTAAAACCTTAAAATGAGCCTCTCTCTTTTTTTTTTTTAATATAACACTCCAAAGTATTTCTGTTTTCACAACATAGGAATTATTCTTTTCAACAGAAACCTCAGTTTTTCTCGTGCACAACTGGGTGATTCCAGGTTGCTAGATGAAGTGTAGAAACAGAAGGATAATTCATTTGAATAAATTTGTCATCCCAAAGATTCGTGACTTACTGCCATAAACACTTATGAAAAAGGTGTAAACTTGAAATGGTACGGAAAAGTGCTAACCATAAATATTTGTGTAAAATATACATTCACACAACTGTAACTGTTGCAAATGCAGAAAAGTACACTGGAGCTTCATTAACGTCACTGATTGGAAATTATAATATTCTGGGAATCAAACAATAAAAAATTCAAAGATGCTATATCCCAAACTATGATAAATCATTTATTTTGACAAGTAAGGGTAGTTTAGTTTTAATTATTTATTATTATACTTCGTAGCATATCAGAAAATACGCAGTGATTTATTGTGCAAAATGAAATCTTAATAAAACAAGTCCCTTCCCCAAACTACAGGATTATTAAATCTTCATGGAAATGTGAGGGTGAACTCTCGGGTTAGTTTTGTTATCGAGCTGTCAGGTTATTAAAGTGAAAATAAGCAACTCCTATTGCATTTAGTTAGCCAAAATCTACATACCCAAGCCGTACAAGTCATACAACCTCGGGGATGAGGAGAGAATCAGAGAGGGATAACAGACCCCCACTGCCACTGCCCACAGCCCTTCTGCTGTCTTGCAGATGATGCAGTCGCATCTTACTGCTAAAAGCAAACGGGGGCTATTGGCTTCAGAATTTACACCCCTGCCAAAGCTACACCTCAGGGAGAGGCAGACCAGCCATTTTAATGTACTGTTCTTGTCCTTTTTGTACTAGTTTATACCCCTCAAGACTTCAAAGTGGAAGGGTTACTCCACATGCCACCACTGACACCCACCTCCCGGCCAGGACCTGCCTCACCCTAACAGAGGGTGTAAATCGGTGTGCTTAAATTACTCTCTCTGAGCTTTGTCAGTCTGAATGAGACTAGCCCTGCTGCAAAACCCCACTCAAGCTCTTGGATTAACCACCCTGAGTGCCGGGATTAGCAGCTGAGAAAGGGCTGTTGTCCCAGCAGCTGTGCTGCCACCGCATCGCTATCTCCAGCACCCACCTCCAAACCCCTCCACCCCAGCTTGCTCCGCTCAAGTGAGGGATTTATTTCTCTCATTGGTGAGGGTTAAGGTTTGGAGCAAAATTCAGTTTATACCTTGAGTTAACACCACAATGGAGAGAAACCAAGCTTTGCGGTCACCACCCCTTTTTCTTTCTAGGCAGAAAATTGCAAAGCTTACTGTTATTTAAAAGTAATTATTTCTATGAGCTAGTGATTTCTTCTGGGGATGATAGCACACAAGCAAGCCCAGAAAGTTCCTGCATGAAACAATTTGAGGATCCAAATGAGGAAAAAACAGTGGGAGAAGAGAGGTGATGGAGTCTAAAGACTGAGAAGAATGGTCCACGCTTCACCCAAGAGGACATGAGGGTGGGAGTTACATCAACTCTGTCCCCGTGGCTTTCATCACCCAGAATACGGACACCTGGATCAACACCAATGAGCACATCCACCCTCTCGTTACTGCAGGATTGGAGAGGGAAATGGCACTCCCCACCTCTTAAGAGTCAGAGAGGTGTCCTCACATAAAGCAAGGGAAGTTCAGAAATGCCAGCTCTGGATTCAAAAAGGGCAGTAACTGAGAAAGGGATTTTCAAGAAATAGTAGATATTTAAAAATTTACAGCCAATATTTTTCACATTTTCAGTGGAAATATTTTGCTGTTCTGTAAATTTCAGCTCCGAATCCCAGTCGTTTGGGTCAGTGTTAATTCCAGAGGAGCAAAACATCACATAAAAATCAGCAAGGCAGTCTATCCTCAAAGTAGTAGTCATGCTGGGCATTACTCTTTAAAGGTAGCCTTAATAATGGGGAATAAGTACTTACTGAAATGGTAAAAGGAAATGTTAATTTAACTATTAAATACATAATTATGTTAAGTACTTGTTTCTGCAATTGTAACACTTCAGCCTGATGCAAACTCACTTTCTGGCCTGTGCAATGGATTTAATTTCTTCCAATTTTTTTTTCAACTATTAAGAGGTAAAACACAGGAATTGCTGCTACAAAGATTATTTAGTTATAATTTATAGTTTTATAAAGGTAAAGCATCACACAAGGCAAGGACTACGGGCATGTTTCAGCAAATCAGCTGAGCTACTCCAGCAGCTTGCAGCTCCTACTCCTCCACCGGTGAACCTTCCCTTCCCTGTCTCCTCCAAGGCCACACGCTCCCCTCGCATCCCTCATCTTGGCACTGCTGCTTCTCCGATGTTTTGTTGAGCTGCCTCAATTTGCTAAACCCACAGAAAACAAAGCTGGTCCCTTCACCCCAAATTCAGGCTTTTCTGCAGTTACTGAGCTCAATGGACTCAATGAAGGGTCCCCCAACTGCAAAAGCTGCTGTTAGGGAGGGGACAGGACCACAGCAGCTGGGAGGGGGAAGCAGAGGAGGGGGAGATGGGGAAAGGGGAGATAGAATCACCTCTTCTGGCTGTACAACAGCTCAGATGAATTGCACGCTGTTGTTTACATACAGATTCAGAGTTTGCTGAATTACAACCAAACTAAGGGTTATGCACATAAGCAGTCATAAATTTTGGCTAACTTAAAAAAAACCCAATAAAGTAAAAAAAACCCCACATTGCAGGTTTGTTCCAGTTAGGAAAAGACCTTTAGCATTTCTGTATAGAGAGATATATTCCATTGTAGTATGGCAATGAGGAAATCAGAAATACCTGTTCTTTAACTACAACCACCTTTCTACTCTGAGAAAAGAAAAAACCTACTGGGTAAATCATTGCTACAACTTTGCAAAATGTATTGCCTTTGCAAAAATCACAAAATAATTCTACCAAAACATCTTTAACACCTACATTGTTTCTAAAAAGTCTACAGATTTTCAAATAATTACTAGCACTTTCATAAATATTTAATGCTGCCTACAAAAGTTCTTTGACAGAACTAAAAACCCACTGTGCAAACCCCAGTGTTCTTTTACTGACTAAATAATCAACCCAACAACTTACAAATCTTCCTTCTGCTTCATTAGTATTTTTCCAATTTATAAAGAACTAATGTAAAGGACAATATACTTGCTATACTTGTCAGCTGCACCAGGGGAGTGTGGGGGCTGAAAGCTGATCTATCAAAAGGAAAAAGACAAAACAAAACAGCAGCTGGGGCGGGGGGGTGGTGGTGGTGGTGGGTTAGTTTTCAACAGGATCAGTGACCTGGTCTGGCTCATGGTGCTACTCCACAACCACTACTGACAGCACGAGGCGTGCAGCAGGACCCCATGGTGGGGAAGGAGGTGCAACTAGTCTTCCTGGAAGTGAGCTGCTCTTAGGTAAGCTTCAACTGGATTATAAAACCATAACCTGAGAGGTTTAAAATCCGTAATCTCTCATCTTACCTGACAGAGGGATTAATGAAGTTCACTGATAAGCAAATGCCTGGTTGAGGTTTCCCTCTGTGAAACCATCACCCATTGCATATATCACCTGCGAATCCTGCATGTCCATACACATCTCCTTCATCACCTCAAATAGTCACTCAAAGTACAGACTGGACCAGAAGGGCACCTTGCTAGGGTGTTTGGTTTGGTTTTTTTGAAACTTCTTATTTTAAGAAGTTCCATACAATTGTGCCACTTTCTCGGGAGTGTGTGCACTGTGAGGGAACGCAGGAGAGACATTTCACAGTCTACCAAATTAGTATCTGCAGGAACAAATTACAATTTCTTTGTTCTGCATGGCACAGTCTGATCCAACCCTTGCTAAAAATTAATATGCCCATAAAACATATCAGAAAAGGAAAAAGAAAAGTCCAGAGAAGTCCACAAAAGCTGGAGCTGCAGGAGGTCAGGCCTCCCTAGGTCAGGCTGCTGGCAGCCCTGCCACCGCACCAGTTACCTGCACGTCCAAGTAGGGGCCAACATGATGGATTTAGAAACATAAACCCAAGAATAACTGTAGTGGGAAACTTAAGTTTAAATTATTAGAAGGTAAATATATGGCAAGCACTACTCTACTGTGCATACAATCCTTACAGAGTATCCCTAAAGAGCTGTATTTTTCTCTAAATTTGCATATTTTCTTACTCTACACAGTTATGACTGCTAAGTGCATATAAAAGAACTGTCAGGAAATCCAAGAGAGAAGGGGGAAAAAAAAAATCAAAGTCACATTTAGAATTTTATGAGGGACTCATTTAAAATCCTACCTGATTTGCTCTTTCAAGGTCTGTCATGATCATCTCGATTTCATCAGCCCTGGGAGAACAAGAGAGCAGAAGTACTGTTATCACATGAAGAATGCCTGCTATATGAGTTCATGCACAGTACAATTGCAACATTCATACAAACAATACCAATTTTCAGTATTTTTTTAAAAGGACACAGTAAGACTGATCAGCTAATCTTTTGACTGGTGAAATCCTCTTGGGTTTCGGCTCTGTGGACTGGTTTGCAAGTCTCCAATTCCTTTGCTGTTCCCTTTTTGCAATGAAATAAGCGTATCGATATCTGAGCATATTCATTAGATCTTTGAAGACCTTACTCCCCAACCTTCTGCAGAAGGGCAGTGTCATCTTTCCTACATATAAAGGTGCTTCACAAGTGATAATTATGGAGAAGTCAAAGATTACAGTTCTTCAGTCTCATACTTGTATACACGTACACAAAAGTAGCCTGTTACTACTCCGTTTCAGTGTGCCTAGAAGTTTGGTTCTAAATTTGGCTAAAAAAAAATATCATGAGGTCAAAGAGACCAAGAAATTTAATTTTACATTATGCAGAAAAGAGGTTTTTGACACAAATTTATGAAACTCTAAATTTAGACTCAGGCTCTTAATGTGCTTTACAAAGCTGAATAGGAAAGTCAAGAGGTTGAAAACGATACAAATAGTCAAGGAAAAATAGATCCTTCACATACATGTGTTAGGTGGCAGCTACCAGCCCTGACCCTTTAAAAACCCCAGCATTTCTAAGACTTCACTCACACAAATGGATCCAATCCTTAAGCAGTCTTTTTTTATCATCATGCTGAATCTTGGGCAAATGTTTCAGACTCATGCTCTCACCTGTGAAAGGTACCAGGAAAAGGGCCTACAGACCTACAAGTATTTCTGTATCAGTATAGTAAGACATACTACTTCTCCGCAGACATTTTGCCTGTCTTCTATCTCTGGACCATATGGAAGCAATAAACACTATCCTCATCTCCTCTGAACAGCAGCTTTAACCAGCAAGTCCTTTTGCAATCTGCCAACACCGTAATGTCTGTTTTTTGTTTTTAATCTGTAGCAGATCATTATCAGTAAAAGCTGTGAAATACCGGAATTCCCTTCCTCTGCTGATGCAGAAAAGTCAGGATTTGTTTTTCTGCTGATCCCACAGAAGATCCATTTTTCTATGCAGATGTTTGCTGGGAAAGATGGCTAATTGAAGTACATCAGGGTACTGGCAGACTCGACACTGGATCATTACACTGAATATTGACTTACTCTTCAACAGCATTTTAGGTTTCTGCGTGCACACTTAGGGAAATGCAGTAAAAGATCATAATAAGTAAATGTGTACGTATATAAATTAATGGAAAATTATTTTTAATTACAGCCTTTAATGTTGTTGGGGCAACATGAATTGCCTTTTGAAAAAATCTTTTGGACAATAATGGAAAACAGATTAACATGTGTTTTCTTGTGCAGGAGAAGCTAATGTGCTCTTACATTGGAAAGAAATCATGCACACGATGTTTTGAATTAATAATAAATAATACACATTAGTTACTGAACTGAACAATCACTCCTTGGGCAAATAAGGATTCAAAGTGGGCAGGGAGTAGCCAGAAGACTAACCCGGACAGGTTAACATAAATCTACAATAACACTTTCGATCTCTTTAGCCTCTGCAGTTGAGAAACATCTTTTGTTTTAGACTCCAGCCCCCAAATACTTGTTAACCCACTTACGGAAATTACAGTACTTGACATGGAAAAGATGTCGCTAAGACCATGCAAGTGACCCCATTATGTATCTGTAACAGAGATAAGAGGGAAGAGAGCATCCTAATGCACCAGAAAAAAACAAATGTTTCCCAGCATTTTACAAATATTTTTAGCCAGGATAGTTTAAGGATCCTCTTTATATAAGCTTATGCATTCAGGCTGAATTTATGTGTGAATGCCTCAGGTTATATGGAGCCAGTAAATGATGTCTGGATTATGTCACATGCCTCCCAGATCAGAGCTGGGAATGTCCCATCCCAACACGCCAGCTACAGCTTAAGCGAATCCAGTTTCCACTCGCTTCTCTGTAGGGTTTGGAGAACAACAAAATCACTGTCTTTCCTCCCAAACAGGGGGTGCCAGGTATCAGCCAAAGGTCTGAAAAACTGCAGAACCTGAGAAGAGCGAAGGACTCGGAAGCACAAAACCCTCGGACCGGGAGAGGAAGAGCTGCTTTGGGAGCAGAAGGGTTGTTTTTCAGTTCAGCCAAGGAACGTTTTTTTTGAGAAAAGAAGATGACTCTGATGCAGAAGAGATGAGCGGGAAGGGACAGAAGTGCGAGGGGCTCTGGACCCATCAAAGGACCCTCAGCCACCTTTAAAGGTCACAGAGGCAAGTGAAGGGAGCCAAGGGTAGGGAAACAGATGAAGCAGAATGAGAGAAGGAACAGAGGGATGTCCGAGGCCAAAGGACCAAGGGGAGATGGGACCAAGAGCAGTAAAGCAGAGGAGCACCCCGGGCCAGCGGAAAGGTGTGTGGCTGCCAGTAAAACAGGCTGAAACACAGGATGGTGCCTGAAAAACGAGGTGGAAGGACTCAGGACAATCCTCTGTTTAAAATGGACAGAAGTATTAATACTGGTATTTGTATGCCATTTTGGCTGGGGTCAGGATTTAAGAGCTCTATTACAGCACTGGTATACGCAGCCAATTACAAAAAAAAGCGACCAAGGATATAGAACGCCATAAAAATGACATTTCTGCCCTTCAGTGCGCACAGATAATTCTGACTAAATCCAGTAGAAGTGTCAAACTGTAGCCAAGGGCAAAATTGTCCCTTTGTCCTTGTATCCAGACACACCAGCTGACTGATCCTGAACTCCCCTCTCCCTCCTACATTTTTTCTACCTAGGTTTTCCGCACACAATCTGTCTCCGCACACCTAATAAAAGGATGCAACATCTCCAAAAAAATCCAAGCAAAACATCTCCAGCCTAGCAGTCTGCACACCAATGGAGGTTAATGCTGCAACTATAAATGTTATCTTTAAGTAAAGTAATGAATTAAATTACTCTATATTCTTTCCTAGCACAAGTGTCAACAGCATTCAGAAGAATCTTCAAAAGGAATTCAGTCTTTTCATTTTAAAAGCTCAACTACCACATCAGTAGCTGGCACTCAGCAGTCCAAAATCACTTATTTGAAAAAGTCTCTAATAGCTACATTCACTGTTTGCTCAGCAGAAGTATTTATTATAAAATAAATTACAGTTCTCACACCTTTTATGCACTCACAGAAACAACTTGCATTGATTTATTGTTTACAAAGCACCGTGTTGAATTCAAACCTGCAAGGTACACGGAAACTCCACTTTGGCTCACTGAGTTAGTCCCATACAGGTCATTTTTGATGTATTCACCATCCGCCACATTTGCTCATTCTCAGCCCTTCCTGTTTCAATTTTTCTCTTTATTTCAACGGAACTACTTGACAGGCAAAATACCATCCAGCTCAAGGCTGCTGGCATCTTGTCCTGCAGGTTTTCATTGAAAATCTGGTGGCAACCTTGAAGGGAACAATGGCCAAGCTTAGCAAATCCGTGGTTATACTGACCCTAAATTTCTGACCAAAGTCATTCCATGTGAACTAAACGCACTTACAAGAGACACAGATCTGATGATTTTACTTTTAACTTTCTTCATTCCTGAAGCAACACGCGAGTTGGTCTCATGAGTGCCTGGATTCCCCCATCACCCCAAGAGCTGAAGGCAAGGAGAAAAACCCCAAAGTTCTGTCTTTCTTCAGATAGATACAGAGAATGAGGATAATTAGTAACCAGAAGACCTTTTGCTAAAATACACTGATATTTACAGTGTTTTACAGCAGATTTCTACATTGCAATCCAACGTTATTCAGGGTTTGTCAAGGGTGATACTTTCTTAACATTAAAACAGATCACAAGAAAAAGAGTGGGTAAAACTGCTTTCAGGAACAAATATTATCTACCCTGTGTTTTCTCATTCCACAAACAGTATAATCATTTATCTGATCTAATTCCTTACAATCTCTGTGTTAGAGAAAAAGTAATCATGTAAGCAAGACAGTTCTTCAGTCTGTATTACAGATAGCTTCTTCTAAGTTTCAACACTTTCAGGCTAAGGAATTTAGGAAATCAAATTTTAAGCCCAAGCATTTGGATCTACAGAATAAGCATCACCAAGTAAAAAGAATCTGAATTGTTGAAACAGCATGACCATGAAATATGCTATTATTTCTTCTCTTGCTACTGTGTTTGAAGTGAAAAACAAAATGCATTAAAAACTACAGATTTTACAAGGTATAAGCTTTTACCAGTCACGAAAGAGCCCTCAAAGCTAACATGCCATCTATAAAAAAACAACTTAAGTAGTTTTCAAAAAAAAAAACCCCCCCCCCCCCACTTTTCAATTCAATTGCTTATGGAAAATAAAAACCACAGAAAGGCTCAATTTTCTTTTTAAGATCAAGATAACCTATTAGGTTTGAACAGCATAACAAGCAAGCAAATTCAAGAATTGGTAACATGGAAGAAACTCAGTTCTTTTCCTAAATAAAATTAAACCAGATGAAAACCCTAACCACCATGAAGCTATTCACTTGCAAGCAAGAAGAATCTGGACTTTATGATTAAAATCCAGTTGATCCAACTCCTTCATTTAGATACTAGCTTAAAGAAGCAGAAACAATTCCTTTTTTATAACATGACAAGTGAATGGTTTGCCAAATCTTGTGGCTACAGCCCCCTAAACATTCAAATTTACTGAACCTTGAAGGAAACTGCTGTTGGATTCTTTATACATGGAAGAACTGAAAAATACAGATGACACTTTTGAAATTGCAGTCAGTGGCATGGCCAAGAAACTTCACTAGCAGGGCAGATTAATATTTTGGTTTGGCAAAAAACAAACAACATTTTTTCCCACACATTTGTTTTCTTTAAAAACATGTATAAGTTTACCGGTCAGAGCAAACGGTATATGGAGCCACTGGGGCTTGTTAAAACATTC